GTGAGGGTATCCGCTTCAGTCTAACCTAATAAATGCATCCCAGGCCATCTAAGATCTGAAGACAAGCCAAGGAGACACAGACAGGCAGTGGTCATCCTAAAGGAGACTCCAAGTTGCTACCTTGGCTATTTCTGTGAGCAACTGACCACCCTTCCATCTACGTGTACTCCATGGGCTTTGGAGAAATATCTAAGGGAAAAAAAATGTTCTACTCCTCTAAAAACAATTAAGACGCTGTTAGTTTAGGGCACTATGTGTTGACCTTTAGAAGTTTTCATCATTGCTATTATTATTATCACTGTCTCCTCTTAGATTTAGAGCCTGATGCCTCTCCCAACCCTGCTGATAAGGGCGGCGTCCAGTATCACAGCGAGGATTTCCTCAGCTGCTTTGGGGAACTCAAGCAGTCCAGGCAGAGTTCTGTGGCTTGAGGCATGCCGACACTCGGGTGTCCTCGCTGTTGGGCTGCATCTTTCCTGGATTCTAGGTCAGTTGCTAGAGAAGTAGCTAGAATTTCCAAGAACAAGACCTAGTGAGAGGAGATGTCAAACCTGCCACCAGAGGGCGTTGTGAGAGAAAGCAAATGCCCTTGGAAACCTGAAGCGTATAGAAGGAAGATGGCAGACAGACTTCTGACGGCACATCCCCGTTTTCTTTTAGTTTTCTTTTTTTAATTTTTGGAGTGCTAGAGAAATGTTAAATTTCATTAAGTTTTATAACCAGGCTTAATATAGACATAAATCCCTTTCATGTTGGTTTCAGTCAAAAGTGAGCTGAACATTATCATTAAACCAGTTGCATGGGGGAGAATTATTTGAGGAAAATCCAAATAGGCACAGTTGGGAACGTTCAGCCATGACCATATTAGATGCAAGTAGGCGCAGTAGCAAAATTCTTTAGGCACTAATGGACTGGGCTATTTGGTTGCTCCGTTTCCATATAGATGAGCTGTGTGCTGGGGCAATATGGTTGCAGTTTAAAGCCTATCTGGGGAAGCTCATTTCTCTTCCATTAGCCCGTGAGCACAGCGCAATTTCAGCTAATACGGTTACACAGCTCCTAGCTGGGCGATTCGGTTAAATGCCTTCAGGGAAAGTAGCAATCCAGAACAAAGGGACAAAAGTGATGTTTCTTATTCGGAGTTCCTGCAGCTTGGCATTGTGTTGGCAATTAATCACACGCCACCCTATCCCCAAGTCATAAACACCTATTGCGTGAGGCATTCCCTAAGTCTTGAACTGTATTTCACTGGGGACATCTTATCTCCCTCGTCTGACTTCTCTGAGATGCAGACTGGTGTAACTACAGCAACGTAGACCTATTTCTTGTTGTGACTGATACCCCAGCGCATACCTAATGCCCTTGTGTGGGACTGAAGCACGAACTCTCTAACGGCTGGAGAACTGGGAAACAGCAAACAAATCTTAAAAGGTGCTCATCTGGGCGGTGGATGAGAAGGTGGCAGCCCCCCTTCCTGAAGTGCCACCAACCCAGCTGCAGCCCCAATTGTACCCCTTGGGCCAGGTATGTCTTGCCCAACAGTGTATTACAGCCCTAATCTAAATAACCACCTTCTCAGTTTAGGGTCAAACCACAGATTTGTTCCTTGGTGCTCAAAATAAAACTGATGTATGCCATCACTTCAGCAGGTGCCCAGATTAAACATGTCAGCTAATACCCTCGCCTATTATGGTCAAAGTGCTAGAGTGTTACGACTTTTTAGGGGAGTTTGGGGGAGATGTAGGGAGATATAGACTTAAATATTATCATATTTTATTATATGTGTGTGCGTGTGTGTGTGCATGTGTGGCATGCTCAAAAAGAGTGTTTGTTATAAGACGGCTGAGCCCTGTATACAGACTATATGTTCCATGTGTCCATCTCCCCTGAGCAGTGGCTTCAGTATGCCTCCTGCCTAGAGCATCTGAAGTGTGCCTTGGTCACACAAATATAGCTCCAGGTCTGACAAACAGGAGACTGTGAGATTGAGTGTCTCCAGTGCCTCCCTTGTCCTTCCATAGCTCTGGGCGTGTGTTGACCCTCTGTGTGACACGTACATGAGGCTAACACTGGCTGGCACTCAAATCACTGAACCATATTGCTAAGAGTAAAGTAAGTCTCGCTTTCTATGTATTCAAATATTCAGAAACTCAGTCTTCAGTTATTAAATTACCAGAAACACCAGAGGCGGTCTGTCCCCCACTCCCTGCAATGAACTTTGAGAAGAGAAAAGGAACTGTATTCTGAAGTTTCTCCCAGACATGACTTCTAGGGAAGCCCTGAGGTCACCCTGGATTCGGCCCAATCTTTCCCCACAATGATAATTCAAGTTCTTAATGACAGTTGAGTCACCACGATCCTGAATCATGGAAGATTAAGTTATATTTGCCAAACAACTCGTATTTTCTAAAGCAAGAAAAGATAGCAAGGTATTTTATGAATAAGTCACAAAGATCTAAGCGAGCATCTAGCTAGACCTGAAGTAATCAGAGTGTTCAATTGACCACCGTGTCATGTCCTCTCAAGTGTTTTCTATGGCTGCCATAGAAAAGTTCAATATAATTCAAGGCCAGTTTAACTTCTTGTACACAGATAATTTGACAGCAGGCACGTTGTCGTCAAGTCGATCAGTGATTCGGTTTGCCTATTAAGGCATAAACAGAACCTTTGACGGTATTGCTCTTTTCCTTTCTTGCTATAAACCATTAGATTTGGGGCCAGGAAACACACAGCCCCAAAAGACCCACTGTTGGCCTTCTTTAATGTTCAGCATAGACTCTTACCCAAGGACCTAAGGCTTAGTCATCAAATTAAATATTTAAAAAAAAAAACTACTAGGTCTAACAAATGGCTGAACCACCATCTGTTTTGAGGAAAATCTGACCCCTGACAACGCAAGGTCTTTCTTCTTTTTATAAAAGTGCCCACGGGACTCAAGGCATTTTAGTTTCAAGGTTTTCAGAATTTCTCAGGCCTTCCTTCTAATTCTTACCCTTCCTAGGACAGCGTCCAAGAGTCAGGAATGGGAGTCAAAAGACCTCATCCCCAAAGCTAGATGGAGTGTGCGTGCCGGAAAGGGCAGGGTGGAGAATGCATGGTCCTTTAGGCACAGAAGGGGCTGAAGGATGGGGGGAGGGCTTCCTGGTTATAAGTGATTATGGCTCTCGCAGAAAATAGATTTGGTTCCCAGTACCCACACCAGGCTCACAATTGCCTGTAATTCCAGGTTCACTAGATCTGATGCCCTTTAGTCTCGGTAGGCACCTGCACATAAACTGTGCACATAAATTCACTCCGGCGTAAACATATAAACAAAAGCAAAAGGTCAATCTTTTTTAAGTGAAGAGAATATGTTTTCCTCTAATAGAACTTGGTCACCTCAGCTGTGCCCCAGCCCTCCCTGTCCCTAGCTTCAGACACAAGCTCAGTGTGAAGAAGGAGGGGGAGGTATAAATCATGGTACTAGCTCTCATCATCATCCCCAAGTCCTCCTCAGCATTGTCCTTCCCCAGACATGAGCTGTCAGTTCATAAACTCCTGCCCAAACACTGGGTCCTCATTGTCCTGACCACCAGAACTTCCTGGCTAGTTGGGTCTCACTAATCTCAAGAATATCCTGCTCTTTCTTTCTCTTAAATTGGGGGGGGGGGGGGAGTCAGTGATGTAAAGAGCAGGACTGACCTGGTACTGTAAGAGGAGGTACCTCACAGAACTTTTATAGTCTTTAACCCTTGACCCTGTCATAGAATGAGCCGAGACCTGTGTCAAGTTGCCACTGCAGCCTGTACCCACCCCACTCCAAGAGCACAGCTCAGAAGAAAAAGGCAGCACTTGGGGGGGCTCACTCTAAGGACCTCACAAATGCTAATCATGCCGAGAGCCATTGCCAGCTCAGTCTAGACCAGAGAATTTGGATCACTTCTATGGAGAAACCAACCAGAGTCTTAGCAAATGTGTTTCAAGATCTGTTGCTTAAGTCTTAATATCAACTCTGAAGCCTGAAAGAAAAGAAAAAATATGTATTTATATTCATACTTACAGCTTTATTATTTATATATATGTATAAGTTTTATAAATATTATTATATGTATTTATAAGTATATATTTATACATATATTCTTATGCTTCTTTCAGTATTCCTGCCCTACTCACTCCACATAAGAATGCTCAATTTCTAAAAATTTCAGTGAAGTTTAAGAGTAACAACATACTTTAGGAAGACAAATAAGTGTTTTCAAAATATTTTCTTAAAAAGAAGTGAAATACAAACATCTCAAAGAAAGTCAAGGGGGAGAAATGTCATCTCTGAGAGGGCAGGTTGCCCCAGAGACAAAGACTATAGATCAGACAAAGACTGAAACTTTGCAAACCATAAAGTTTCCCTGGGATTTAAGCCTGTGTGTGGTTGGGAATAGGGCCTAGATCTGGGGACTTACTCATCACTGCGCCCAAGGCAGACAGGAGACTTGCCTCTGAAGACTGGAGTTTCATGAGATGTTAGTTACATGTCTCATTACTATGACAAAGGGTTGTGTGGGCTTACAGTCTGAAGACAATCCTTATGGTGGGGGAATTTCTGCTGGTGATGGTGGTCCACTGTGACAGTAGGATCATGAGGCAGCTGGTCACACTGTATCCGCAGTCAGGAAGCAGAGGGAGATGATGATGTTGATCTGTGTGCCCCAACTTAAAATGAAGTTGTCCTGGAGAACCCTGGACTCATGTTTGCTGAGTCCTTGAAGGCTTAAAATAGGAGTCACAGACTCTAAGGACACATGTAAGTCTGTCACAATTTTGGAAGGACTGGCCCTCACAGATTGCAATATATGAAAGTAAAATATATATAATAAATAAAAATATGTGCAAAAGGCAAAAATGCAGAGAGAGCATTGGCACAACCCTCCAAGGAGGAGACAAAAATCCAGGATGGTGTGTTTACGGCACCAGCCCCCTTTATGTGTTTAAAGCTTTACTGACCTGAGATCCCTTGTGTTTTTCAGAACTCTGACGCAAGTTATGACTTCAGCAGCAACGACCCCTATCCCTACCCCCGATACACAGATGACTGGTTCAACAGGTAAGCTGAGCCTTGGAACATCTTTACTGTTAGCCGTTGGGGTTGATTTTGCTCTGTTTTGTTTAGGGCTTGAGTGTCACCAGACAAATCATACCAACACTGTACGATGTTATGTATGTTCTTCTTCATAGTGGCTCCATTTCTTGATCCTTGGATTTCTAGTATTACAGTGGCCCTCAAGAATTACCATTTGATTATCATCTTGTTTTATTGAACTAGAAGTGGTTTACCAATCTAACATATTATGGATAAGAAAAAACAGCAAGAAGAAAACTTTTCTCAACTTACTACAGTAATTTAAAAGAGTTCACTTGTCCCATTAAAGCTATTCCAGAGAAACTTTTGTTTTGTTTTGTTTTGTTTTGAGACAAGGGACTCACTGTATAACTCTGGATAGCCTTTAACTCACTATGTATACCAGGCTGGCCTCAAACTCACTGAAATCTACCTGCCTCTGCCTCTTTACTGCTGAGATTAAAGGCATGCACCCTCATATCTGACACCATTCCAATAAAAATTTTGTCGGTGGTTTGGTGTTGATATATTTTTTAAAAATATTCCTGCTATAACCTCGTAACAGCTCAGGTAGTCCTTTCCACAAAAGTGTAATTGACAGAGGTTTGAAATATGGACCATATGATCCATCTGAGGGTACCATTTTTCTCCATCATATTTTGCTACTGACCATATAAATGTGACTTCTCCTTTCTTCAAGTAAACATCTTGCTTAAATGGTTGCCTGCATATGAGAAATATTTAGAAATTTGGGTGTCTGGATTATTCCAAAAATGCTTTAAGTTTCAAACCCAGTGCATGGGGAAAGGTTGAACTTAGTCACAGTTAGAGATGAGTAAGGGTTACCAGAGAAGGGTGACTATAGATGACGGTGGTGTCTACGTATTTCAGAAAGCTAGAGCTTGAACTTAAGTATCCTCAGCAAAGTGAAACGGTTAAATCTTTGAGGAGAGAGAGATGATAAACCCAATATAAATATGATATATGGGAATGTCACATGATAACATTAATATTTACATTTTATGTGTCGGTTAAAAATAAACTATTTTAAATTTTAAAGTAAATTAAATCATAAATAGAGCTTCTGCTTACATATTATCCCTGCCTTTGGGTGAGGATCATAAAGTATATGAATTTCAAGTCACAGCATGAAAGTGCGCCATGCGCAGATCACTTTCTTGTTGCTCTTGCTTCTTGTGGCAACCTAATCTATAGATAAAACAGAAGTTATCTCCTTCAGTTTAGTGACAGGCTAAAGGTCAAAAAAGACTGAATGACTTCCCTAATCAAAAACTTTGGGTTCATCCAGGCAGTGGTGGCACATACCTTTAATCCCAGCACTCTGGAGGCAGAGGCAAGCAGATCGCTTTGAGTTTGAGGTCAGCCTGGTCTACAGAGTGAGTTCCAGGACTGGCTCCATAGCTACTGAAAAACCCTGTCTCAAAAAAAAAAAAAAAAAAAAAAAAAAAAAAAAACTGGGTTCAGTCAAAACTGATAACAGATCATGCTTTATTTCCCTTTTTGGTTTGGTTTGAAGTAGGATCATGATTTGTGATTCAGGTTGTCCTCAAATTTACTGTGCATTCCAGGCTGACCTTGAATTTTCAACAGGCCTCATACCTCAGTCTCCTGAGTGCTGGGATTCCAGATATGCACCACCATGCCCAGACCAAATGTGCACCATTTTTATAAGCAACATTTTTTTATACAATAAGTGTGACATCCAGAATGGCCAGAGCAGATCGTCAGTGAAGCAGGAGTCTTAGGTCAGCTTCCTACCAAGCCAGGGAGCATGGGTGTAGAGGCTAAACAACTTGAGAAATGCAGAGAGAATAAAGACAGGAATTAAATTCAATCATATAACAGTTTTAAGAGATGGTTATTGGTGTGCGGTAGCATAATTCACTCTCTGCCAAGTCCTTGCAGCTGGAATATGACCATGCAGTGCTTTGGAAGGGCGTCTTTGTAAGGTGAGAATGTATCTAATAAGATCTGAGAATTCTGGTCATGAAGTCTTTCTTATTCCCATGACATATAACCCTGCATCCTAGCACCTTATCAGAGAACCGTTTTAGACCCAAGGATATAAAGTGACCAGACAATGTCCGTAAGCGAGAGTTTATACATAACTAGCAGGGAATCTGGAAGGCTGGGGTGAGCTGGGTCTGACCAGCATTGATCAACTCCTGGTCCTCTCGGGAGCATGATAAAGAGCTGTGGCATGACTTGAAGCCGACCACATGCTATCTCTCTGTAGCTAAGAGCAGACCACATGCTATCTCTCTGTAGCTAAGAGCAGACCACATGCTATCTCTCTGTAGCTAAGAGGTACTAGGTGTTGATAAACTGACCCAAGCAGATAGAGGAGGTTTTCCTGAATATAAACTCAGTCTCCTCCAAGCTAACCCTTCTTGTGTGATACTTGTAGGAATATTTAACAAAAAAAAAACTCTATAAAAATGCCTTATCTCTTAAATATTTTCATATGCAAGCTTGTTCTTGAAAGTTCCATTTTAAACAGACTAAGTTCCTCTAATTAAAACTAATTAGTGTTTAGTGTAACAAAAATCCATCACTGTCAGCGGTAAGAATTCCCAAGTGACAAGTTTACCAGAGACACAATCCTAGTGAGTCAGGCAAGCAAACTGCCTGTGTCCTAGGAAGTCAATGACTCAAGACAAAATGTCCATCCATTCCGATCAATAAATAACTTTTTTCCCAACTGCCAAGTCATTTCAAAAACTTTCCGCCACTACAACTTATGCTGCAAAGATTGGGTTCTTCCCAACTCCACTTGGAGTCTCGCAAACGTAGCAGGGATTGCAATTGATTGGATGCGGGTGGAAAGATAAGATTCAAGTCCGCCACATCAGGAGAGCCTTGGCCCAAAATGTTGGCACCTGCTTGACATGAAGAAAATGTCAAAAGGGTGTCTTTCCTCCATGTGTAGGCTATGTTACTAAAAGTTCCCTGCAGAATAAAAGAGCAATGTGTCCGGTACCGTCTTCAGTACTGCTTACTATAACCTGGGGCAGGAGGTGGACGGGTTGGGGTGTTGAGGAAATGAGGCTGGTCATGAATTAATTGCTGTCACAGCTGAGAGCTGGAAATTGCATTTGCTCGGTTTGTTTACACCTTTTCTAGTCCAGTATGTGTCAGACTTTTGTCATTAGGTCCAATAGCCAAGTGAGACCATTTAAAAGTTGGAAAGTTTTATTTGGGCTCACAGGTATGGAGACTTCAGTCCAGAAACCCCAGGAGAGGCAGAATAACATGGGGGCAGGAGTTTAGCTGGGCAGAATCTCTTTCCTTATGGCTGTCGGGAAGGCCGAGATAAGAAAAAGCCAGGGCAAACCTAACCCCCATGTGTAAGCACTACCTCCTCCAACTAGACCTCACCTCCCGGTTTCTTTAATCCCACCCCAGCCCGAAAAACAATTGCTGTCAGCTGGCAAACAAGCCTTCAACACACATTTTCTGTCCCAACCATAGCATTATCTGAGAAATAAACTTAAAATGCAGTAGGCATAGAAATAGGCAATGAAGAGTGTGGATGGACGCTTAAAAGAAATCCCACACTAGCTCAGAATTGAGAAATAGATGGTTATTTACTTAGGGGTAGACTCACAAATCAGAATCATCTGTTTGAATGGAGATCAGAAAACAAATCCCGCAACCGGAATAGAGAGGCCAGAAAATAGGCAGGATGCATGCCCTACATCGGCATATATAAGAAGCCACACCCCAGTGGGCGGGTGACCACTAGCTGTAAGACTTCCTACAGAAGAACAGACCTGGGAGTTGAGTTTGTAAAAGCTTTAATTTTGCTCTGTAAACTTCTGAGGAGCTTACCACATTACATGAGGAGGAAGCACATGCTTGAATTACCACAACGCTGGCTGGATTCAAGGCTAACTTAACACAACAAACTAACACGCATTGAACTAACGTTACCGTCTCTAAGGCAGTCTTAATGCTTTGCATGTGTTAACTTAGTTAATTACCATTAAGTCTCTGAATTACCAAGACGATCCTTAAATATACAGCTAACATCATTTATATAAGATCACACAATAGTAGAGGCAAATTTGTGCCAGAGAGGGGCTCATTGGTCCAAGACTTAAATGAAGATCACAGGTAGAGTTGGAAGTGGGAGTAAAGACGATGAAAGGAAGACATACATCTACAGGACGCATTCAAGGAGTTCCCTGGACATCTGGTCTAGACGGAAGAGGTAGTGCAGGGAGCAGTATCCTAAAAAGGGTTCATGGAGGAGGAGAGACGGGCTGCTAAGAGAAATAAGAGGACAGACTGTGTGACTGGGTGAGACACTGAGCCAGGGTCACTTATGAGAGTCCCTATCCCATTGAACTCAAAAACTGCTGTCACCCAGAGAGGCAGGAGCCTTGAGCTCAGTCAAGATCTGCCGTTGTTCCACCAAAGCCTCATGTCAGCTGTACCATCACAGGGACATGCCATCGCCTCTCTGGGTGTCTTTTTCTGGACATGGGCATCAACTCTGGTGTGCCACCGCCATTCAGGCTCTTTGGTCCCTTAAGCAATTCTCACCGCAGCACGCTCCACATCTCCAACACAGCTGCCCGCTGTGGGCCCAGGAGCACGCTGCTATTGATTCCTGCCGCAGAGGCTAGTTAGATCCCAGGAGCAATTGCTGCACAGGAATCAGCAGTGGCAGGAGCCATCTATTCCAAGAACCCATTACTGGGGAAAGAAGAAAATACAACAAAGGACCCTCAAGCAAGCAGCTAAAATGTCCTCCTTGGATGGGAAACTACATCCAATAGCAGCACGTGCCTCCTGGGTTTTCCCAGCCATGTTAAAGCATGCTTTCACAGCCTGTTCTTACTGATCAATCCGTTTTCCTCCTAGCGCACACTCCTGATAGGATATATTTAAGGACTGTTTATGAAAACAAGCTTCATACATATGCAGCACCACTTTCAATATGTGAGAACGTCCTGCCCTGTGCTCGACTGCCTTTTGTAGTATATTCATCTCGTCGTGGACCATTCAATAACGCTATGCAGTATTGAGCTCCAGGGATATACATGAAACACGGTGGAAAGTTTTGCAAAGTATTCTGCTCTTCTAACTTGCAATCAGAGAATGACATTTGGACCAACAAAATAATAATAACCCAAATTCCCCCCCAAAAAAAAGGTAAAAATATTACACATTTAATGGGCATCAATAATGTGCAGAACAGATAGAATTTATTTGCTGGGAGGCCTCCAGACCTAACAGCAGTTCTTTTCCTGGCTGGCATTCAGTCAACACCGATTAGCTGGTTGATGGATGGGTAGCCTACCTTTCCAGGCACCCTGTTGAGTGGCCTTGACATCTGTCCATTTTTAGAGCTGCCTGCTTTCGCAAGGTTTGCAGCGCACAGTTGGTCGGTACCATTATACCTCGCTCAGCTTTAAGAGAGTGTCTGGTGATGCGCTGTGGATCTATATTCCATTACTGTGCTGTTGTCCATAAAAACCCCTCTTGCATAGCATGTCTTTGACAGGCACTGGTCACAGAAATGTCATCCCTGTCAGCGGTAATATTTATGGGGCACGGAGGGTGCTGCGCATTCTATCAAGACCTAGAGAGGAAGAGATTCTGGACGAGACACAGTTCCTGGCAAGTTTACCATAAATTCAAGAAGAGAGAAGACATTTATTACTCAAACAGCCCAAGTCAAGGGAGAGGGAGGACAGATGTAGGCTGAGAACCATTCATATCTGTGGGAGCTAATTTGATTGATAACATGGTTAAAACTTCAAATATGAAAGACAGTGGGTTGGGTTTCTTTTCCTTCTTGGATGTCATATTTCATTTTAAAGAGCCCTATGCAACGGGTCATAGAAGAGCACGCGAGGGAAATGTCCCTCCCTGGTTTGCTCCTGCCACACTGATGTAAACTTCTACTTTACCCCGGTGATGCTTAGCATCTTAGGAAGAGATGAACATCTTTTTCTTATGTCTTTATGGACTCATTTTTAAGTCACCTCCTGGATAATAGCATTCAAACCATTTTCAAAGACCTAGTCAAACTCTTGTGTTCATGTGAGCACCGAGGCAACCTCGTAGGTGGATATTAGCTTGGTCTTTGCTCTACATCTTTGCCAGAACTTTGTAGTGCCCAGCAGAGTGCCATTTTCTTAGTCATTTACAGTCCTTGTGCTATGACATCACAGTCTCTAGTGCTCTACCTAGACTTCATAAGGTTTCCTCTTCATCTTTACAATGTTTCATCTTCATAAATGTTTCCTCTTCAGCTAAGGAAAGAGACATAAGACAAATTTGAGAGTTAGGGAGAAGATTATAAAGATTGTAAAATATCTGTACATTGATATAATCATCTCTACTTTGAAAGCTAATTTTGTGCATGTTCACACAGGCATCTTATGGTCCTCATGTGACAATAACCCTTTTCTCAAAAGAGAAGAAATACACCCAGCTACGATAGACAAATACAATATTCTACAAAATGGTTGGGGTGGGGTTGGTGATGCCTAAGTCAGTTTCCCTGATATAGAATAAATTAATGCTCTTGCCTTGATGGTTTGCCTTGGGCAGTGGAGACATGTGATGTATCCCCTTCATTTTGGTTAACTCCCATCCTTTTGTCTCCCTGTCATCCAACCCTTTAAACCTTCCTACTCTAAGTATCCCCCTCTCTACTTTTATATTACCTATTTTCTACTAACCCTCTCTCCAGGCAGCCCCTCTCAGTACCCTCTCTCTAATGCCCTGGTTCCTAAAGGTACTCCAATTAAGCACACGAAATTACAAGTTAGAAACTAGGGACCACATATGAAGGAGAACATGCAGTGTTTGTCTTTCTGTGTCTGGGTTAACTCACTCAATATAATTGTTTCCAGAGCCATCCATTTACCTGAAATTTTATTTTTCCTCCCATCCTAATAGAATCCCATAATCTGTGTACCACATTTTCATTCTCCATCTGTCAGTTGATAAACATATAAACTGATTTCATTTCTTGACTATTATGAATTAAGCAGTTGCAAACACGAACAAGCTAGTGTCTATGGAACAATATGTACAGCTCACATGTATATGTATAAGAAGTTTAAATGGGGTTTACTTATAATGGGGGGATAATACCTCAACTAGATTCCATATGCTACTAAATAAAGTCCCAGTACCAGGAATGGGCTACCTCTTTTTGACCTGTTGACCAATGGGGTTACATAACCCCCCCAAAAAAATTACAGGTTATTACCAGTCCTATTGACTACCTTCCAGAACCTAAGAGTAAGACCCTGTTTCTTCAGGCTTTTAAAGTTTTCAATACAGAATTCTCTCTTCTTGGTTAAATTAACTTAGAGCTTGGTTTGTTGTTGCTACTGTTGTTGTGTTGTTGCTGCTGTTGTAGTTGTTTTGTTGTGGTGTTGCTATTGTTGTTGTTGTTTTGGTTGTTGGGATTGTTTCCCTATTCCCTCTCTTGGTGTGTTTGTCATTGATATCTAAGAAAAGCTAGTGGATTTTATATTCTAATTGTGCATCCTACTACTTGGCTGGATTTTTATTTATTGGCTTAGAGTATTCTGGTGTCTTCTTCAGAGTCTTTTATGTCTAGGATATCTAACCTGAAAATGGGGGTCATTTAACTTCTTATCCAAAACTCTACCAGAATGTGCTTTTTTTTTTTTTCTGTGTCAAAGCGGAAAGCTAGTTCAATGACAGTGAGTGATCATCACTCCATCACTGAGAGGCCGTATCTCAGTTCTGTATGCTGAGACACCCTTGAAAGTAACTACCCACACATGGATCCTAGTCCTTCCAAGGAACCCAAGCTGACCAACCACCAGTCAGCACACAACTATTTTATATTGTGCTTCATTTTTTAAGGAAACCTGCGAGCTTTCCACTGGAAAATACTTCGAATTTTAAAATAAAGAAGAATTGTCACATTAGTAATATAATGTTCTCTTTGTAATAGGAACAACCTAGGGTCAGGAAGGTCACTGGAAAAAGTGGGGGAGAATAAAAGGGAGCTTCAGAGTGGAACAACAGAAAATTGGATATACCACCGGTGGCCTCAACCTCAAAGACTCAGCTAAAGAAATTCCCTACAAATGTGTGACCATTTGTCCGACTTGTGTCTGTTTTCCCCACAGCCATGGAACCAGGTGTGCAGGGGAAGTTTCCGCAGCCGCCAGCAACAATATCTGTGGAGTCGGTGTGGCATACAACTCCAAGGTGGCAGGTGAGCCAGCCCTGCCAGAGACAGGCACCGTGCTGGGCAGTCTGCCCTGGGAGCTGCCGCATTCTGATCTCCATTCTTGCAGGGGCCAACAAAATTCTCCCCTTGGTCAGGGTCTCTGAGACCCACAGGTGGAGCGAGCATAGGGAAGACATTTCATCTTCACCTGTACACAGCAAGCTTTCAATATCCCTAAGCATAAGACACCAAAAAAATAGGCAGGCCACAAGCACATAACTCAAATGTGAACAGATTTTCATAAATGTGACTTCTATGAAACCAACAAAATCCAACCAGACCCCAAAGTCCCCCTCCTCATGACCCTGTCCCCAGGTGTTGCCAGTACTTACCCAGCAGTAACCACACTCCTGTTTTCTGACAGCGAAAATGACCGTTTCTGGTGTTCAACTTGATATTAATGCAAGGCCGCTACTCTAAAGTATTGTGGCAATGTCACTAGCACTTTGAGAATCACATACAGAGCATACGGAGGTGGGTGAGGGCTGTTTATAAAGATGCCGGGTGGCCTGGAAACTGATTTACATGACCCATGACTTCAAGGAGACATGGTCCATGCTAAGGAACCTTTTTGAAGGCTGGATCCAATGCTTTATACGTTTCTCTTTACAAGGGTTTTAGGAATGGGAGCAGAAAGTCGATGGAGATTTAGAGAGAAAAGCAACCAGACAGGCTCAGAAGTTTTCAACAAGATGCCTGAGAACGGAATGTTTTCTGATTGTTCTAAGTTTGGGGTCAAACTGGTTCTTAATTCAGTCAAAGCTGAGTCGCCGACTCTTGTTTCTCTTTCCTTTTAACAATTTTCTTGATAATTTCTTTCCTAGCACCCTACTGAACCCTAAGCCTACTTTGTGCTGACACCTGCATATCTAGGGGCCTAAATAAAGCAAATGAAACACTACAAACCCACCCTTAACTGTTTCCAGAGTGCTTGCAGAAACACCTGCCTGAAACTGGGTGCAGAATTTCACAAAAGAATATATCTGGAGGGCTGGAGACTTTCCATTGGCAAAGTGCTTGCCTTTTGAGTACAAGGACCCGAGCTTGATTCTCAGAGCCTACATAACGTCAACAAATATTATTATGAAGTACAACAACCAGCATGGCATGATAATCCTAAGAGGACAAATTTGAGAGGGGAAAATATTTTACTCAGTCAGGATGACAGTTCTAAATGCTGTCGTGTGTGTGTGTGTGTGTGTGTGTGTGTGTGTGTGTGTGTGTGTGTGTGTGTTTCGCTAAAAATGAACCTAACTCTTCCCGAGAATTTTCCTTCAGGAACTTCCTATGCAATGTCGAGCTAAAGCGCCATCTGGTGGTCAACTAACATAATTGCTAGTCTGTGGCATTCTGGAGATGTTCAGTGACAGGTTAGGGAGGCGCTGGTGGGAACACTTGGTGGGTTTTGATTCAAGTTGTCTTGAAAAGAAGAAAGAAAAAGACTTGTCAGAGTTTAGTGGCACAGGCCTGTTATCCCAGAACATGAGAGACTGAATCAGAAGCATCTTGAGTAAGAAGCCAACTTCCGCTACTTAATGAAATTACGAAATAGAAAATTGATTTTCTGACGGGGATTAAAGAGACCATTAAGTGCCTCTTCATTTGCTTCCTGCCTGTCCATTTCTTCAGTGCATAGACTTTGCTCATGTTTCCTGTTGGTGGTCAAGCACTCTTAGTATGTCATAAATAACTGGTCATACGTTTGTTTCATTCGGTGCAAACTTGGACACAAAGCCACCAGTCCATCCAGACTCTACTTCTGTAGATGTGGAGCTAAGATGACCAGCGGTTCTACTTTTCTACAGTTAACCAGTACTCCCAACACTGTCTGTGCAATAGCTAACACCCACTAACCATCACGTGAATATTGTGTGTTGTATGCTAACTTCCCAAACACATACGAGTCAGTCTCTGGGTAAATGCAACTTAGGTAAAACCTCGTGAAGTATGAATTAGAAGGTATGGCTAGGATTGGCTGCTACCACTGAAGACAGATCTTACCCCGTTATGCCACTCGGGCTCAATCAGTCACTTTTGGAATCAGCCTCACAGAGACATCCAAAATGATGCTTTGACAATTCCCAAGGAATTCCTTCATCAGGCAAGTCGACACCTAAAGCCATCTGTGTCGCACATGGCCATGTGATTGCTGCTTCTCCCTTGTCGACCACAGTCTCCACAAAAGCAGTGTCTGTCTACTTGGTCTTGTATTAGCACTGCAGAATCCAGGTCAGATTCTGGCTCACAGTCTACGTGCAAATCCTATTTTCTGAATATGAAAAAAGAATGAAAAGGAAGTGGACAGAGGGAGTCAATGAATAAACTCACTAAGATATCAACGACCACTTCATGAAAGAATGGGTAGGTCAGTAGAAATAAGAGACTGGGGACATAAAGGCACAAAGCCAGTGGATTGTTACCCAAGGAGGTGAAAGAGGCCCTCATACCAGATTCATCAACCTTTGCGACTTTGCCTGCATGAGATCAGTTCCCAGCAATCAGAAGCCTTCTCCAGACACTCCTAGCTTCTCAAATATACTGTAGGAATGTCTGGGTACCAGGCATCAGTGGGAACTTCCCAGAGTGTAGCAAAGAGGCCTGTCTAGTGACCCTTTTCACAGTGCTCTGGAAACCTCCAGGCGGAACAGACTACAAGACCATCTGCCAAAATCTCCTGCAGTTCAGGTGTTGAAAATACAGTGTGTGACTTTTCCTAGGTTCTCATTTTCAGGGTCTCAAAATATTGGTACCCAGAAAGGCTCTAACAGTCCAAATATCCATGGGTACTTGAATAATGACAACTATAAAACTAACAATAACAACCAACATATTACCTGTCCGGCCCAATGCAAAACTCTTTGCTCTTCAATGCACTCTGCAATTATATCGCATTATTACATCTCTATATGACACATAAACTCAGATTTAAACTCAGTATTAAATCTCAGTGACCACATCTTATTAAACTATGAGATTCTTTTGTACCTGGTATCCCTGCTTAGGAAACTATCTTTACTGACAAAGCTGAATCGGGATGGAATTGCAAGCCTGTATGACTGGGAACCAACTCTGTCTTCATTTTTTCCATTCAGGGGCTTGTAAGACCCTCAGAAGTCCCCTTAAAGGGACACCTAAAAAACTGGGCACTCTGGTTTCGGGCATCTATTTTTAAGGACACAGTTGTTACTACTGTTTCTCCACATAGCCAAGGAAGGAGGGAAGAAGAGTTCCAACCAGGTTGGCTCTAAGAGTAATTGTCAAACATGGAGACTGGTGTCCCGGGCTTGTTGTTATACAGGCAGATATCATGCATACACACAGATACACTCACGTGCACACACTAAAAAGGGAAGATTGGAAAAAACTGAAATGTAAAATCTACCAGTCATAAATATGTAAATGTACAAAAATAAAAAAAAAAACCTTCCCAACAACATGACTTGCTGGTTTGTCAGCCTAACGCTGCTGAAAACTCAAGGCCATGTCCAGCCTTTGGGGAGATGCTGCCCCCCCAAAAAGCCTTCAGATCACCTTGAGCCTGTGTCTTGATCGCTAATAGTACTGTCATTTGCAGAATTAATACTGCATTTCATTCAATAAATGTGTACCTCAGTCCTCCTGAGGTTAACATAATTAAAAGAAATGCCAGGAGTCTGGCCCCAAGAATATGAACGAACTCAGCTCTCGGTCTGCGGCCACCCCTGCCTCTCCCAATGCTGAAGCAGTCAAATGAATACATATCAGCGATTACATTTCCATTCAGCACAGAGAGAAAGTGCATGATAGGATGAAGAAGGAGGGGCCCTCCAGAACCACAGTCGTAAAGAGAAAGAGGGTCCAAGGTGCAGGGCTGCCATCGGGCAGCTGGTGGGACAGCAAGGGCTACTTTGACCATTATTATGTTTCCCTTTCTTCTTTGTGGGGTTGGCTGCTCAAGCCTGGGTCATTAGTACCAGGTAAATCCAAAAGCATCTGAGCTTTCTCCTTAAAATAAGAAAATGTCCCTCTGTTTCTTTGCCAACTACAACACAGGAACGATTTCACTTAAAATACGTTCTGTTCAGTTTATCCTGTAGCCCAGTGGTCTCGGTGTCAAATTGTTGCTGGCTAGCTGATTGAACCCAGGCCTGGGTGTCTAGCACTGAGCGAATCTGAAAGCACATGAGCATTCTCCTTAAAGCAGGAAAATTACCGGCATCACCACTGTGCACAGGCTACATTTCATAAGTAAATAGAGTAGACATAGGTCCACAGCGAAATGTATTTTTAAGCTTTCTTACAACGCAACTTCTAAAAAGTTTGGAACAGTTCTTAATCCAAATGAGCTTCGTCCCAATGAAAAGACTCCAATCCATAATTGAACGTTAGTTGGCATAAATGGGTACACTGACTTAGGGGTTAAGGCAAAGGCAGAGGGATTAATGGCCATCTTTGGCCTTTATTGCTTGTTCTTCTGAACCTGTTGTTTCTGTTGGAGAAGAAAATACCCTAAAGAAAGCAATGACATCAGACACAGACATTCATTCTTAAGAATTCATCAGTCTTGCCACGCAGTGGTGATGCACACCTTTAATCCCAGCACTCAGGAAGCAGAGGCAGGCGGATCTCTGTGAGTTCAAGGCCAGCCTGGTCTACAACAGCTAGTTTCAGGACAGGCACCAAAGCTACACAGAGAAAATCTGTCTTGAAAAATGAAAAAAAAAAAAAAAGCCGGAGAACAGGAGCCTCGGTGTTGCTCATGTTTTAACAACTCATTCACAAGGTCCCAAGTGAACTACGTTAATCCCTTCCAAGAACAGTGTTCCCACAATGACGTAATTTCGTCAGCTCTCATACTGCTACTGAGTATCCAGGAGCCAGCACAAATCTTTAGGAAGCACACTCAGATCACAGTGGTTCCCATGAGTAAAGCCAGCACAGCTTCCCAACACTCTACGGTGCAGCTGGCACATCCCACATGGCAAAGCCTTGCAGAGAGCAGTTTAGACCAGATTCAGCTGGCTCATCTCACTGGCTGCTGGTGAGCCCTGGGGTCAGCCAGGTGGTCATATGATCAGTGAGTTTGTCCTCTTTGTCCTTTCTCCTTGTGTCCTTGTGTGCAGCTCTGATTTGCCCAGTTCAATCCTAAACATCAAGCTAGAGCATCTCCTGGCAAGATGTTACCCAAAGACATCAAAGAATAACAGATTCACGAAGATACCCCAGTGTATCATGTACCCTATTACTGAGCATTTATACTAACCTGCTCCATCTCTGTCTCCGCCACATTCCTTCCAAGCTGTGATGAGCTGATGGTTCCTCACCTCTTGTACCACCCCATCCCCTGCTCTCTGCACCCTGGAGCTTCTTGCTAAGTGTCCATTGCTTCTTTCCAGTCTCAGCTGCATCTAGAAACCTGGCCCCATCAACAAAGGTCAATTCTGCACCATAGGAGGCTGGGTTCCCACTTAGAGGCTTAGTAAGGATGCCCTTTCACACCTTGTCCCCCCAGTAAGAATTCAAATAAATTTTGTTTGGAGAATAATTCTTTTCTTCAAATAATTACTCAAGTAAGACATGAGTGAGGTACTCAACCTCATAGAAGAGAAAGTGGGAAGTACACTTGAACACATTGACACAGGAGACCACTTCCTAAATATAACCCCAGTAGCACAGACACTGAAAGAAATAATTAATAAATAGGGCCACCTGAAACTGAAAAGCTTCTGTAAAGCAAAGGACACAGCCAACAAGACAAAACAACAGCCTACAGAATAGGAAAAGACCTTCACCAATCCCACATCAGACAGAGGTCTGATCTCCAAAATATACAAAGAACTCAAGAAATTGATCATCAAAAGAACAAATAATCCAATTTAAAAAATGGAGTACAGACCTAAACAGAGAACTCTCAACAGAGGAATCTAAAATGGCTGAAAGACACTTGAGAAAATGCTCAGCATCTTTAACCATCAGAGAAATGCAAATCAAAGCAACTGTGAGATTCCATCTTACACCTGTAAGAATGGCCAAGATTAAAAACACTGATGAAAACTTACCCTGGAGAGTTGTGGGGTAAAGGGAACACTCCTTCATTGTTGGTGGGAATGCAAACTGGTACAGCACCTTTGGATATCAGTATAGCTATTTCTCATAAAATTAGGAAACAACCTTCCTCAAGACCCAATAATACCACTTTTGGCTATATATCCAAAGGATGCTCAATCCTACCATAAGGACATGTGCTCAACTATGTTCATAGCAGCATTGTTTGTCATAGCCAGAACTTGGAAACAACCTAAATGCCCCTCAACCAAAGAATGGATAAGGAAAGTGTGGTACATTTACACAATGGAGTACTATACAGCAGAAAAAATGGCATTTTGAAATTTGCAGGCAAATGAATGGGTCTAGAAAACATCATGTTGAATGAGGTAACCCACATCCAGAAAGACAATTATCATGTGTACTCACTCATAAGTGGCTTTTAGACATAAAGCAAAGAAAACCAGCCTACAAATCACAATCCCAGAGAACCTAGACAACAATAAGGACCCTAAGAGAGACATACATGGATCTAATCTACATGGGAAGTACAAAAAGACAAGATCTCCTGAGTAAATTGGAAGCATGGGAACCATGGGAGAGGGTTGAAGGGGAGAGGAGAGAAGTAGGGGAACAGAAAAAAATGTAGAGCTCAATAAAATCAATAGAAAACAGACATGAGTAAGGTCTGGAAAGGAGTGGGTAGGGTGATCTGAGTACCATTTTGACCCTCGGACTCCGTGAAGGTCCCCATGTCCTCCTTTACCCCCACATCTTCTGAGAGCTGAGGTACCAACGTCTTGTTTCTCTGTTCACCCCGTGCGCAGGTATCCGGATGCTGGACCAGCCTTTTATGACAGACATCATCGAGGCCTCCTCCATCAGTCACATGCCTCAAATGATAGACATCTACAGTGCCAGCTGGGGCCCCACAGATAATGGGAAGACGGTGGATGGACCCCGGGAGCTCACACTCCAGGCCATGGCTGACGGTGTGAACAAGGTAAAGAAATGCCTGTCCCCACAAGGCTCCAGGCCATACATGAGGTAGGACACGGAGGGTAAACTAGTGGTGACAATACAGTGGACAAAGTGGCAGGGTGTGGTTGAAGTGGGTCTCTAACTCTGAAGGTCCATTTAGATCCTGTGGAAAGTAGGGTTTAGCCATGCAAGAGGTGCATGGGAGGGAATTCCAAGCAATTGTATGTGAGTGAGAAGCAATGACGTCAGAAAAGGTGAGTCAGGAACAAGGCCTAGTCTGTGTGATGGGGACAGAGGAGGAAATTTGTACAAGACTCTGAGACTGTCATCCTACTCTGAAGGAGTTTCTGCTGAGCTGACAGGTTGTCTTCAAGCGAAGTCACCCATGCATGCCAGAAATGGACCAGCACTGGCCTCTTTGTGACATGCTCAGTGGAAAGTCAGAAGCAGCCTACAAGCTGCCGGTGGGAGTGTCTCAGCCCACACTCGATGGCAGACCCAGGGGCAGCAGCTTCCAAGAAAAGCCCCAGTGCTTCTACGATAGGAGGTCTGAGCAATGAATTTTGTGGCCATTGATTCCTGAACTAGCTCAGCAATGGACAGAGCCAAAGAAAAGGCACCAAGTTGGAGCCTCCAATAGGAGGGCAACCGGGAGACACAGCTTCATAGTTAACGAAACAATGCTGCCACCTAGACAGGACACAAGTCAGGTTCACAGAGCAAAGCACTCCAAGACCCCATTCCAATCCCTTGTACCTGAGAACCTATCAGCAAGTGATTGCACCCAGCCTGTCCTGTTTTGTTGCCTAGAGAACAGTCATATGTGGAATCCTTCAAGGGACTGGGATCATTATGAGATGTAAATTGGGTACAATGTGGTCATGGCACTGGGAAATGCCCACACCATGCACTGCTGACCCTTTGTCAACTACCCTAAGACTTCACGGCATGAACACAGCCTCTGTAGATATTGTGGGTCCCATGGATCAAGAATTCAGAGAGGGCACATTAGGGGTACCCTGACTCTTCTTTGGATTGCTGGGGCCTGAAAAGCCACAATATTTGTGATTTGAGCATCGGTTCCCAGACCATCTTCACAAGCTGTTTTTGCATCACTGAACTTCAAGCATGGCCACTGGCAAGCCTTGGGGAGAAAAGTAGTGGGAAATGCCATGGCTCAGCCAAGCCTGCCTGCTGGGGCCAAGACTTCATTTTAACAAGATTCTCTCAAGGGCAGAGGAGTGCTGCTATCAATGACTTGGGACTCCATGTCTCATAACCCTGAGATACTAAGACCCTAAAATAGCACCTTACACACCCACGCTAAACAGGAAGGGCATGACAACAGCTTACATTCTGGGAGTGACAGTGTCTTATAGATGTCTAGTGACCAAGCTGTATGTCCTGCTTAATCTCTATGCCACAGGAACAGACATCTAGGTAGCTGAGCCAAAGGACATCTTTTGAGGAGGCAGGAGTGACAAGAGCAATGGGGTGATTCAGGCAGGTCCTCACGTAGCTGAGGGAGAGTTAGGCCTCCTGGATCCCAGATAGCTGTGAGATGTACGAAAACCCACACTAGGGCTCTTCCACCCAGATGCTAGGCCACCTCATCCCTGTTTTCTCTGGCTTCAGAACTCCTTCTCTTCAGTCCCTTGGTCTTCCTTGGGACATGTGTTCAGGTAGTGGAAAGACCCCTTCCCATCCTCTCTTGTCACAGCCTGGCAGTCTCTGTACCACTTGTCCCCACTGCTCTCAGGGAAACCTTGGCCCCAGATTAGGAGACACATCCTCCCCAAGCCTAGGTTTCAAAATTAATGTGGTTCTGTTTAAAAGACTCAGGACCGTGACATTTCTAACACCTTCTTTTTCTCTTCTTCTTGGGACATCTCACAAGGTGGATATTCGGCCTCCCCCACCCTCTAATGGAGAAATCTCTCATGTACTGTTGAATTCTGCCAAAGATCTGAACAGAATTATAAGACCATATGTCACTCTGTAGCAGGGTTGAATAGTGTGCCCCATTTGTCCTCTTGAAGTCTTAACTTCAGAATATAGCCTAATTTGAGATTCAGGTCATTGCAGAAATAATTAGTTAAGATGAAGGCCTGTTGAGTGGGTCAGGCCCCTAAGCCAGTATAATAAGGATAAAAATCCTTAGTTATTAATTAAAATGATAGTGTTTGCCCACAGACATGCTCAGAGGGAGAATGTTGCACAAAAATAAAGACAGAGGTCCCAGGACCCATGTGTAAGCCAAGGAATACCAAGATGTCAGGAAATCACCAGAGACTGAGGAGGATGCATGAGAGCCTTCTTCCAAGGTCTGGGGGGGGGACGAAATTCAGTCGACACTTCAGTCTCAAACAATGAAATTCCAGGGGATTCCAGGGCAGCTCGGCAATTAATTTCTGCTGTTTAGAACACCCGATTTGTAGTACTTTGTTATGGTAGTGCTAGAAAATTCATGCACCCTTCCAATCTTAGAAAGGCCATCAGAAAGGGGCTTAGCCAGACTCTGTAACTGTGGAAAGACCTGGTCACTATTCCAGGTCACCTTGATATCCCCTGGCTCTCTCTTTCATAGGCAAGATAGCCAATCACTGGTCCGATGACAGTTTTTTTTTCTTCTCTTTTGCAAACTCAAAAGACCATCTTCCTTCATTCTGTACCATAGTTCAAGAGCAAACACTCAAAAAATTCACAGAAAACCACAACCAATCCAAATACAGAGTTGAGGAGACTAGTCCTGAGGGACAGGTCTACAAAACACTCCCACAACTATAGTTCAGAGATCAGTGTGGAAGAAGGGCAGGAAAGGTTGTGAGAACTGGAGGATCGGGGAGTTTGCTGTGAGATTACGTCACCTAGTAACATTAGAACCCACAAAGTCTCACCAACATGACTGCCCAAACATGAGCTGACCAAGAATGACACCAGTAGAATTGTCAAAGTGGATATGTGACTTCGGGGGGGGGGGGGGGGGTAATCTTAATGACAGAAGTGTCCCTGCATAGTCGGTGCCATGATGGAGCTGCTCCTGATGACGTCACACTGAGAGCTTGAAATCAGGGATGGAAACTGACAAGAAGAGCTTTGACTTCCTTCCAGAGAATGTGTTGTTCACCAACACCTCATTGCTTTCCTTCTGTCTTAGAAGTTTATACTCCACGCCCACCCTGTAAATAGCAACAGCCTTGTCCTAGTGAGGCTGAAAGTTCCCTTCGGGGGGATAGGACTGGAATAAAAGCACCTGACACCCTGAGTCACGTGTTTCTGCAAAATGACAGGTTTTCCATCCTGTGGCCATGGAGGACAGCTTTGCTAAGTAAGCCATGACCTCACTCTATAGAAGAGTTGTCTCCCTTACATTCAATACAAGTTTTAAGAGACACAAAGTCCTGAAAGTGAACAGCTTTGTGTCTTTAACGAAACATCCTACACTTGGGTGGGGCCTGGTGGGAAACCAGCAAAATGTCCTGTTCCAAGGTTGGTGGCGATCTGCTGTTGAAATTGAGCCAATCCGAATCCGTGTGGAAGACCCTGGCATTAGAACGGCACAAGCCGAAGGCCTACCAATGGGACCTGGTTGGAGAAGGTGGTGTCGCTGCTCGGCTTCACATACTCAAGGCTGGGAATCTTGACACATCACTCAGCTTGCTTTCTTAACATGTGACTCACCGCATGGTTGAAAAAAAAAAAAAAGCAGACATCCAACCCAGGGCCAGACAGCAGGAACCTAGGGGGTATTTGGCAGGTGTCCATTTATCCAGCAGACATGGTACGTTTTGGCACCTGAAGCTGGAAGGATCCAGGCAAGTAAGTGACAAGTGCCCTCTGGCCACATTTGCAATGCAGATGCATTTGAAACAAGGCATCCCTGGGTGGCTCCTGTCATTTCATGTGCTTCCGAATGTCACATCTCAGAGCTGGATCCCTCTCTCCGCTCCATCTGTAACCTCCCTGTCTCCACCTGAAAGGCATTTTCAAGCGCAGAGCTTTTGCAAAACATGCCAAGGTTGCTAAAAAGCAAGAGAAAAATCTTCATGACTTATCTTCCGACAACAGCATGCAAATATTTTGCCGAGGAAAGCGCACGGTGAGGTGGGAAAGACATGTCCTGTCATCTGGCTTCTCCCCAAGCTGTGGGAACAAGGCTTTGTCTCAAGATCACACTTTTTAGACAGTTTGGAGAATTCTGTAAGCGGCAGCGTACTATACAGCAGCGAAGGGCTTCTCATCTGTTCAGCTAATCTGGTTTACTCTAAAGACAAACCCACCTGGGAGAGACGATGTCCATTCACACATGGAAGTCTGACCGCTACACACAGTGGCAACTCTTACATTTGCCCTTTAATATTAACACCCTGCAGATAGGTTTTGTTTGACCAATATAATAACAATAAAAATGAGGAGGAAAATGAAGAAGTGGGTAAGAGCGCCTCAGCAGTGGGCACCCTGTTTGCCATGGATTTTACCATTCCCAAGTGCCTAACCCGCTTCACACGTAAACCTCATTTATCCGGATCTTTAGAAATGTCAGTTTGCCTCTTGTAAGTTTTCTCAAAGAACAGGCAAGATGGAAAGAAGGGAACTGACAACCTGTGTCGGTGCTCAAATGTCCTCCAGGCATGCATAGTTCTCTGGGTTTGATCCCCCACAGGCGAGGCAAGGGTAGCACCAGGAGTGAGTCTGGCCCTGTGATGAGAACCAGAAGGGACCAGCTCAGGCTGCATGCTCAAGGAAAAGAATAAATCGTTCCCCCTGCCCGTGCCATATGGCAGTCTTGCCTCTTTAACTTGGTAGTATTTATGTTCGGTTTAGAGTTAAGGCATTCTCCATAGTACACCAGAAATTGATAACAGAGATCCTGAATGATGAGGTGGCCAGTAACTAAGCTCTACCTGTGCTGGCGAGCTTTATGTCACCTTGACATGAGCTAGAGTCATTAGGGAAGAGAGAACGTCAATCAAGAAAACACGCCCCCTCCCCAGACTGGAAGGAAGGCCCGTGCTGCATCTTCTTAATTAGTGACTGATGGGAGGGCCCAGCCCATTGTAGGTGCTCTACAAATGCAGCCTGAGCAACTCACGGAGAGCAAGCCAGGAAGCAGCCCTCCTCCACGGCCTCCAGGTCCCTGCTTTGAGCTCCTGCCCTGGCTTCTCCGAAGACTGGAGTATAATAAACTGTAAGCTGAACAAACTCTTTCCTCCCCTCATTGCTTTTGCTTATGGTGTTTTATCACAGCAATAGAAACTGAACTGGGACACAGTCTTTACTTTGAGATCTCCCGAAAGCAAACCATGAGACAAGGCTTGAATTTGAGATCTGAGCTGAGCTTGTGTTCAACTCAAGTTCGAGATTTGAGTTGATGCTATTTTGGAGGCAAAGGTAGCACCAGGAGTGAGTCTGTCTGTGTGATGAGAACAAGAAGGGACCAGCTCAGGCTGTGTGCTCAAGCCAGCTACCCTATGAGCAATGAAAATCGTAGATTACCAGAAATACATGTAGATACAGTAAAACTATACTGGTCGGGTGCAGAGGAGCTAAGACAGAAACCAATGGATGAGATTTACTCCCGGGGGTGACAGCTCTAGCAGTCTAAGTCGGAGGGCAGGCACACAGAGAAGCCTTCGGCCTCTTGGGAAACAGCACTAAGACAAAGAGATGCCCATGTTGGCATTTGGAAATTCCCAAGCACAAGAGGTTCTGAAAACCAAAGGATCTGGGATGACACCGTCTGCCATCTGTTACAGTCACAGGAGCAATCTAGTTAGAGACAGACAGAGCACTGGAGAGCATACATTCACTGCGTGGATGGACAAATATGGCCCCTGTGAGGAGAAGGATGAGGCAACAGACAAGCCACCAGAGAACACGGACTCTCATCTTCCCACACCTTTTGCTCTGCCGCTCAGAAGAAGAATTCAGACAGCATGAGGGAACCTTGAAGATGACAGAGGACTCATGACGCTCCTCCTGCATAAAGGGAACAGAGACACCCAGGACAGTCAGGAACATTTGGGCTGGCTCTAATGACTATATTCCAGTCCCTTATTAATCTCTTTTCAGGACATCTGCTAAAGAGAGCCAAGAAGTTATGAGTAGTTAAAGACAAGCTGCAGGAATTCTCTGTGGTCCTGATGAGACTGCGGGCTGATAGATTGTCCTTGGGGCAGACGGAGGATGGAAGGACGGAGGGCACGGCACAAGTGTCAGCTTTCTGCACTAGAATGCATGAAGATGATGAGCCTCTTGCAAGAGAGTGACTCAAACACCACCGCCCAGGATGAGGGAGTAGAGGCTGACTGAAGAGAAAGTGATTAATCAGGTGTGGGTCAGGCAAAGCCCTGGAGCTGCTTGATGAAATCTAATCAGAGTGTGGGTCAGATACAGCGGCAGCAGTGCCAGGGCATCAGCAGGTGATGGATGCCTCCTGGCCAGAGCGCTCAGGGACACCAGTCCTGATTTAGCCTCTGAAGCCCAAAGGATGCTTGGCCTAAAGCCTGCAACCCCGCCTCTGAAACGGTTCACATACTATTACAATTCTTCCCTTCTTATCAGGGACAAAAAAAGAAGTGGAAGAAGGTAGAGGGTGTAGGATCAAGGGGTTCACGGTCATTTTTGGCGACAGAAGAAGTTCAAAGCCTGCCTGGGCCACGTGAACCCCAGTCAGGAAGGAGAAGTCTGCCTAGCATGTACAAGACCCTGGTCAATTCCCAGCACCATAAAAACAAAACTAGTTCATATTGGCATTTATTATTTATAGACATTGACACTAGAGTTATCATAAAGAGCATTAATACAGCTATGTGGATGAAGAATCTTCAAAAATGCATTCCTTCTCATCAAAAATTCCTTCTGTTAGTAGCTCCACCTAAGTAAACAGAGATATTTTTAAAAAAGACATAGACGAAATTATGCTCATTTTAAAAATTAGGCATTATTTTAAAACTAGAAATAATTCTCCATGTATATCTAAAAAGGAGAGAATAAGTTGTGAAATGTCTATTTAATAAGACTAATAAAGCATAATATAAAATAGCCTTAATCACATGAACAAATGTTAATTATATAATAGTAAAAAACGCATTTTTAAGCAGGTCAAGTAAAGTGAATCTATTTTATTATCCCAGGTCCATTGCAGAAGCTAGACTAATGCTTTGCCTCTCTATATAAAGCTGTCAGGAACCACAGAATCACGCTAGGAATCACTTATTCACAGGTTATAAAGAATTTCTATTTTCCGCTCCACCGTCTATGCATTTCAATTGTTCTACATTGCATGTAATTTTCACAATAAAAAGCTAAATAATTTCTTAAAGCATGCTAACATCATAAGACGTCAAGGTGAAAACCAGACGTGGTAGGGCACACGTGTGACTCCAGCATTTGAGAGGCTGGGGCAGGAGGGATTCTGTGAGTTCAAGGCTACGCACAAGGTGAGCTACAAAACAAGGCCTTCACTTCCATTCGGTGGCAGCTGCTCTGCAACCCAGCCCCCTCCTACATCCTTATTCATGCATTTGTGAAAGGCAAGCTAGTGACTGGCTGGTCTAAGGAAGCTTTTGAATTGACCATCAGCTGGGGCCATAAATTTGACTGCCATCTTGACAGGCTAAGTCAGATTCGTTGCCCTGTATAACCAAGGTCCAAGACATAGCAGGGATGTAGAAGGTTCCTTAAGTCTTGTATTCAGAATCTTTTCCTGCTTGATATCTCTCACATTTTGATGGTCAGATCAAGACATGAAGTCAGTCAGGATCCAAGTAGGAAAGAGACCCCCCCTTCTCTTCTTAGACAAAGCTGCAAAGTCATATTACAAAGGGTATTGATACATGGAATTATGCAAGCAGAGGTAACAGTGACACACCCTTCACACTAAGGTGCTTCCTTATATCAAGGATGCTTCTCTCTTCACTCACTGGCAGCCTGCTCAGGGACTTGCAAGGGAGGATTATCCAGGTATCACACCCAAATCTGAACCTGAGAATATGTCAACATCAGAAACCATCTGTTTCCTCTTCGCCCTGATTTCCAAGAGCGTTTTCTTATTTTGATGGAGCCTTTCAGCAGTATAGATTTACCAAGAGTCTGAAGACAATTCACAGTTTGTGGTCAAACAATTATTAGTGAACTTATCAACTCAGTCACGGGCTAATTAGTTCCTGGTCCTGTTAGAAGGAATTCAGAATGCCACTTCTCCTTGTCAAGAGGAACATAGACCTTGGAGGTGATCCGGTCCCTTGTTTTCTAATGATTATCTCCACCTAAAACCACTGAATCAGAACCACAGATTCCTGGTGGCCACACAGGGGTTTTCTCTGTCTTCCCCCACCCCTTTTCTTTCTTTCTTCTTTTCTCCCTCTCCCTCCCCCTTTCCTCCTCTCTTCCACCTCTCCCTTTAGAGCAGTGGTTCTCAACCTTCCTAGTGCTGCAGCCCTTTAATACAGTTCCTCCTGTTGTGGTGACCTTAACCATAAAATTATTTTCATTGGTACGTCATAGCTGTAATTTTGCTACTGTTATGAATTGCAATGTAAATATCTGATATGCAGAATATCTGATATGTGACACCCCTCCCATGAGGTCAAGACCCACAGGTTGAGAACCACTGCTTCAGAGGGTTTCCCAGCCACTCTGAACCAAGTTGTGGAGAAAGAGGAACTTGTACACCTGCCCGCCACTTCCCACACTGCATGGCTACCCTCCTCTCCACTCCCCACCCAGTTCCACTGCCTCCACAACAACAGAGGAGAAAGCAACCAACAAATGCCTAATCCTGGTTAAGGCAGACAGGAAGGAGACTACTCATAGAGGCAAGGAAAGATAAATAAAATAAAATAAAATAAAATAAAATAAAATAAAATAAAAATACTAAGGGCAGAGACTGGACAGGAGCAATACTGACTTGAGTCACTAATAACCAGTTTATCTTCTGTAACTGATGATGGCCAAGTGGGATAACTACCGTGCTACCCTCTGGAGCTCAGATTTCATTGGCTATTGTGTTACTTCCTTACATTAGGCTTTATTCCTAGAGTTGGTCCCTTGCCCCGGTCAAATGGTATGTATCATTTCCTATAGGATTCTCTTATTAGCCAACTGGATTTCTTAAAGCTATATGCACATATGTAAGATTTTATATCATACTGGTTAAACATATACTTCGTTTTTATATCTACATATACAACTTACGTAGTTTAATATAAGCATGTACACTTAAATTTCTCTGAACACTTGCATATAAGAATAAGATCACAATAATTGCCCCTGGGGGATTTTAACTTTTCTTTTCTATATACTTTGATACTTTTTATAATGAGCATGTACTACCTTTGAGGCATTTTGAAAATCAGTTCACTGGCATATTTTAAGGCTTTTTAAAAATACGTTTATGGGTAAATTTTTAAAGCAATGCCTCTAACCTTTGTTAACCTGTTAGTCTCAGCTAAAATTACAAATTCTCGTGAGCTTATATTTATCATTCTTGGGGCGGAAATCATTTCTACTATTTCCAACCGGATGAGAGTTTCCAGCCCAGATAAAATGAAGCTTTGGTTATTTGATTGCACACCAGCATTGGCTTAAATCCTGACCCTCCCTAGACAAGGATCTTACCAGGAAAGGAAACCCCTAACCCCTAGCCCCAGGCCAGGACCCCGCTGCTCCCGTTTGCTCAATGTCGGGACTTGGTGCCACATCTTCCTTGCTCTACCAGGGCCGTGGGGGAAAAGGCAGCATCTACGTGTGGGCTTCCGGGGATGGCGGCAGCTATGACGACTGCAATTGTGATGGTTATGCATCAAGCATGTGGACGATCTCCATCAACTCAGCCATCAACGACGGCAGGACCGCCTTGTACGACGAGAGCTGTTCTTCCACCTTGGCATCCACCTTCAGCAATGGGAGGAAGAGGAATCCCGAGGCTGGCGTGGTACGTGCAAGCTACTTCCGGTCTGGTTCATTAGCGCCAGGGGCCCCTCTGTGACAGACTGATCTCTCAACCACGCTCCCTTCTCTAGTTAGCACAGCTTCTGAGGAGAACATCCAATTTCTCCATGTCTAGTTTAGCTTAACCAAGGTGGAGACCGACCCTCTGCAGGTGGGAAATAAGATCCTGCGGCGAACCTTTTCCAGTTCATTTTCTGTAGACTTCCTGGTGTGGCATCTTGCTTTGGCATGCAAGTAATGACGAGCTCTGGTTTACCAATAGGTTTCCCGGCATGTCACTTACAAGGAGAGGAATAACTGTAAGAACTGAGACATCACATCAAGCTACAAGCACTAAGAAAGCACCCCTGCATAATAGCAGCTAGAAACATCCCCAGGCTAGGAATGAGGCTGCAAGGGGTAGAATTCTTGCCTTAGCAAATACTCGACCCTGGGTTGGATCACCAGTACAGCAAAATAATAATAATAGCAATAATGATAATGTCCATGGGTGGACTTCTGTGGCTCCTTAGCCCTCCTAAAGGTGAGCCCAGCTGTGTATTTACTCAGGGGAAAAAGTCTGATTTCCTCATATTATAAAATGGTCTCTGTCTCTCTCTTTCCTGAGGAAATCCTCTTCCTTCCAACCAGGTATCACAGTGAACTTTTCTTCCCATGCAGAGCACAGTAGCCCTTCCAGGACTTCTGCCTTTCTGGTTACTGTGCTCACATTCCAGTGTTTCTTTAGTCCTTCAAGCCAGACATATGACTTAAAGCCATGAATAAGCTACATCCTAAGTTTTAGGCCATATGGTCAGTCTTACAAATGAGCAAAGAGGGAAAGAACTTTTGGCTACAAGAGATGCTGCCCTTAACAACTACCCATCATCCCTCTGTGGCCCTCCTGGGTGTCCTTCTGAGATTAGAGAAGAAAACATGCCAACTCCTAAGCAGAATGGGACTTCAGCCCCTCTTATCCATCCAGAGCCTAGCAGAAAAAAAACAATAGAGGCCAATTTCCATCCTGTTCTCTTTATGATACCTTGCTCCACCTTCTGGGAGCCCAGTCCCTATCCAGAGGCCCCAGGTGATGAGATTTTTGTCGTCAGCCCTCATCTATGACACATGTTGTACTTGGCTTGAGAAGGGCCCTTCTTTTGAATATTGTAACTTTCCCAATAGACCACCTTTAAGCCTTCCTAAAATAATAAGCTCGCCTGAGAACCCTGTAGAGGGAGAAGAATTTCTGTGTTTTATACATGATCTCAATGAAAACCCAGCTCTCACAAATATTGAAAATGAAAGTGTTCTCATTGAAAAGTCCTGTAACACTCTATTAACCCCTAATACTTTATTTAGGGGATACCATGTGTCCCCTAACTGAAGCTGAGGAGGAAACCAGCACACACCAGGGTTTCTTGGCATGTCTCAGAATACCTTCGTAAATTTTAGGTAGAAAGGAATATTTGTTTTGGATGACCTGCCCTTTCCAGTTAGAATAACTTGCCCTGTCTCCAGAAACCTAGTCTTCCCACTTTGGGAATCCCACCTTCTCCTTCCGGGAGAGAAATGAAATGCTGATGCAGGTCATGGTATCTTAGAATGAACTCATGATGATGAATCCAAAAGCCAAGCTCAGCGCAACTCAGCCCACCACTGACCATTGACTCTTCAGAACAGCTTAAATAAGATAAATCGATACTACCGTGATCCTCAGCGTCTAGGGCTCAAACAGTGTGTCTTGTTCATTCATTACTCAACATCCTCTTTTCCAGGCCACCACAGACTTGTACGGCAACTGTACTCTGAGACATTCTGGGACATCTGCAGCCGCTCCTGAGGCGGCTGGCGTGTTCGCCCTGGCGCTGGAGGCTAAGTATGTTCCTGTTGAGGGCCATGAAAGTTTCAGGAGGTGACAGCTAGTGTTCAGATGTCAGCCTACCTGAGGAGTGATTCTCCGGTGGAGGCTAATCCTGTCCAGACAAGTCTGCAGGACCATCAACTCTGGAAACTGTTGCCCGCTTTTGCTAAAGAAAGCTTAGTGTCTCCCAATACCTGCATTGTAGTGTGTAATCTTATGTGATGTGTATATGTGATCTCATGATTGCACCTCAATCGTGGGATCTAATCTGCCTTTACTCACTCGGCTGCAAGCCCAAATAAGTGTCTCTCTTCAGCCTTTTAACCTCTATGGACAAGGCTTAACTCTGTTCCTTGGGATTTGGGTGAGCAAAATGCCACTTGCCCGGGCCCTACACACACAAATTGGACAGTCTCAGTAAGCTGGAGTGAGGAGGGATGAGCCTACTGGAGTCCTAAAGAAATGCATGGTTCTGCACTGAGCAATCACCGTTCTTTCAGCATGCATGCTTACTGCATGAACTTCCCAAGAACCCCCACCCAGAGCTGCTACTTATTTCTCATTGGCCAGCCCTAGTCACAAGACCACCCCATGCTTCAAAGGAGGCTGATAAATGTGCTGTCACTGAGCATGTAGCCATTCTGAATAAAACTGAGGTCTATTTTTTCCTTTTATTTTTTTTAATTTTGAGGTTAGAATATAATTATACTATCTCTCTCCTTCCTTTTCCTCCCTCCAAACCTTCTCATACACCCCTCTCTTTTCCAAATACATGACCTCTTTTTTCATTATCATTGCATGCCTATGTACATATGTATTCCTAAATATAAACTATTGCTTTTCTGTCAAAAATCAGATTTCCATAGGTGTGTGGATTGATATCTGGGTCTTCGATTCTGTTCCATTGGTCCTCCTGTCTGTCTTTATGCCAATACCAGGCTGTTTTCAGAACTGTAGCTCTGTAGTAGAGTTTGAAATCAGGGGTTGTGATGCCTCCAGAAGTTCCTTTATAGCACAGGATTGTTTTGGCTATCCTGGATTGAGTACTGTTCTTTTGAGGTCTGTGAGGAATTTTGCTGGAATTTTGATGGGCATTGCATTGAATCTGTACATTGCTTTAGGTAAGATTGCCATTTTTACTATGTTAATTCTACCTACCCAAGGGCATGGGAGATCTTTCCATTTTCTGGTGTCTTCTTCAATTTCTTTCTTCAAAGATTTAAAGTTCTTGTCATACAGGTCTTCTACTTGTTTGGTTAGAGTTGCGCCAAGATATTTTATGCTATTTGTAGCTATTGTGAAGGGTGATGTTTCTCTGATTTCTTTCTCAGTCCATTTATTATCTGTGTAGAGGGCTACAGAGTTTCTGAGTTAATCTTATATCCTGCTCCTTTCTCCCTCTGTACTCTGTCACAGCCTGGATCTGACCTGGAGAGACATGCAGCATCTGACTGTGCTCACCTCCAAGCGGAACCAGCTCCACGATGAAGTCCATCAATGGAGACGGAATGGGGTTGGCCTGGAATTTAATCACCTCTTTGGCTACGGTGTCCTCGATGCAGGTGCCATGGTGAAAATGGCTAAAGACTGGAAAACTGTCCCTGAGAGATTCCACTGTGTGGGAGGCTCCGTCCAGAACCCTGAGTAAGTAGGGGCCATACTTCTTCTGCCACATGTGGAAGATGTCCCCATTGCTGATAACCCCAGGTTCCCTCTCCATGACAGGAACCATACTGGGCTTCATTTGAGACAACCAGCTTCTGGGAAAAGCTATGGAGGTACACAACTCCAGAAGACAGTTGCGCAACTCAGGACCTATGCTGTAACTATTCCCATAGTTCATAGCATTATTTTTCGGTACACGGGTTAATCAGCCAATATAGCAACCATGCAGATCAGTAATAAAACATGACTAATGTCCCAGAGGCACCCTGCAAATCTCTTCCATCATCATCTACCTAAGAGCATTCACTAAATCACTAGTCTTGTTTGTTTGTTTGTCTTTGTTTTTGCTTTTCAAGACAGGATTCCAAAGTTACAGACCAGGCTGGCCTCTAACTCACAGAGATCTGCCTGTCTCTGTCTCCCAAGTGCTGAGATTAAAGGTGTGCGCCACCACCACTAGGCCAAGCAATCACTATTCTAACTCCATAGTTTGATTTGCCTATTCTATATTTAATATAAATGGAACCTACATTATGTTCTCTTTCACATACATGTGTGTGTGTATACATATATTCTTATGTGGAAATTTTTATTTGTGAATTTGATCACGTTCAATGTATGTAGTTTATCTTGGCTGTTGAAGGGTGATCCATTGTGGGACTACCACTATTGTTAATTCTTATCAGTGGGACAAGGGAAAGGTTCGATTTTATTCTGCATGAGATGGGCTGTGATTTAGAGGGGTTTGAGTGAAGCCACTGATTGGGTCAAGTATAGCTACCCTCCATCCATTTCCCTCAGTAAAGAGACCTCTTCGTTTAATTTCTTTCTCGCCTTATTGGCCCATCTGTAAGATGACGCAAATAACTTCTGTATTGCATATAGATCATGAAAATCACAGGACGTAAATATTTGTTTGCAAAAGCAGAATTAAAATAAGATATCACAGTGTAGTTTAGGCTGACGTAAGCTCACAATTCTCCTGCCTCAGCCTCCAGAGTGCTGCGATTGCAGATGTGTCCACCAGTATTATTTGGGTTTTGATGGCTACAGCCACTGCTCTTACCTCTAGCCGTAACTTCCTTCTACCAGTTCGTGAACTTAGCTAGAATCAGACAGCATGGGTGCTCCCATTTCTGGTTTAATTTGCTCAATTAAATGTGTGAGCTGCAGCTGCAGTGTTGCATGTAGTAATCTCTCTTTCATGCTCACTGCCGAGTTTTGTGTTGTGAGAATTCTCCTCTGTGAAGCATGCCGTTTAAAGGTGGTAAAAGAATCTACCTCCCTGTCCCTTTCAGGAACCTCCTACTTCTGCCTTTTCTGATGATCATCTGAGCTCAATGAGACTTGATTACACTAAGAGGCGTCCTCTCTTCTGTTTCCCTTTCTTCTTGTCTGCTCTGCAGCTGTGGTAGTCAGTTACCCAGACCTGAATTCAAGTCTGAACTTTACCTTTTTAGACCTCCCCACTAAGCTTTTGGGCTTCCTCACACCCCTATTTTGCCAGTTTCCAGTCTTTGTGATCTGACCCCGTTGGCAGTATGGAATCTGCAAACGCCGTCTCAGTATAATGGTTTTGAACTCGTTGGAGAAAATAGAAAGCGTTGTAAAGAAAGTCAATTATATTGAAAATACAACAGTGTTTTTAAAAGTCAATTTGTGGTGAACCAGTACCTGTTCTTTCCTGTAAACAAACAAGAAGTTCTAATGTGCATCTAATTTACTGTATGTATCTAATGTACACAACAAATTCGGAGCAGTGATTGGGGAAATGCCATTGCAAAGCCAGGCTTAGTTCCACACACCTGTGATCTCCGCACTGGAGAAACTGGGGCCAGAGAATTACAACGCCTAGGTTACATAGCAAGACCCTATCTTGTTTAAAGGTTACCGCAAGACATGTGCAATATGGGACGTGAACAGGCTCTCACAACGGTATGAGAAAGTTCTGTATCAGGCCCACATGCATGAACAAAGCAGAAGCAACGTCTCCCTTATGCGTTAGTGAAAGCTAAGATGCAGGCTTTTTTCCCGTGTGAATGAACACGCTTCTTGAGTTCCTTGGGCTCCAGAAGGGCATCTTCTTTTGTTCTTTACCAGCACAATGGCGCTGGTGCCTCTTCCCTTACCAGACTTCTGGGAGGTGTTAGTGACACAGGGTAGAAAGCTGGCACATGGTGGGCACCTAATCAGTGCAGCTTTGTCTCGTCCTTTCATCCGTGATTTCAAGCAGTCCTCGTTCACACTTTCGGAAAAGTGGGATAATAATCTCTTAAGACTCAGGAAGAAATAACTGTCTGGTTCTTGTGCGGATTCCAATTTGTACTTTATGTCTAAAGCATCCTCTGGTGGGAAGGTTTGGCTGTTCCTCCTCCAGTGAACTAGCCTATTCTCATGGGGGACAATCCACCTGTGAGCAGGCATCCTCTCCTAGGTGAGCTTCCTTCCACTGATGAGAATTCTCCCTAAATGAGCATTCCCTCCTGCGTAAGCATTCTCCCTAGTTGAACAGTCATCAGTGAGCATCCCCCATGGACGAACATCTTCCCTAATTGAGCATCCTCCCTGGATAAGCATCCTCAATAATTGAACATACTTCCATGGATGAGCATCCTCCCATAGATGAACATCCACCCATGGGTAAGCGTCCTCCCTGGATGAGCATCCTCACTGTTTACTCACTGGGTCCAAGAATGTGACATAAAACACCTCCTTGCAGAACCCCCACATTTTCCCCATAAACTACTCCATTATCTCATAAAGCATCACATCAATCCAAACTGAATAGGGAAGCAAAGATTCAGACCAGGATCTATGACTATCTAAAAGCACAAGCTCCAAGGAATTTTATGGATACCTGCATCAGGTAAATGCATTAAAGACAGCAAAGGCACCAAAATGCATTGGTGTTTAAGGAAAGAAAGGTCGGCACTTCTCCCTGGGATTGATTTAACCAGAAGCGAGCCCAAGTTTGAATTTTCCACTTCCCTCCCTGTGTCTTTCATCTGTCTGCCGTTATAGTTCCTGGCCTGTCTGTGCTTGTGTCTGTGTCCCGTGTCTGTGACTGTTACTATTGCTGTGTGTGTACCTATGCCTGCCTGATGTCTAAGTGTCCCTAGCAAAAGACATTGGTCTGTATCCATTTAGTCAGCATCATATGAGGAAGGGATGAGGGACACTTTATAGAAATCTTCAACAGTTTTGCAGGGAATTAAGTCATTTGCATCCGCTGACCCTGAAGCATTCAATACTGCAAGCGTGCCTCTATCAATATCTGCATGCTGCTTCCCACATTTATTGCAGGTATTGGTTATATAAGGTTGCTTTTGACCTGTTTGCTGTTTTCAACAAATGATTATCATAACACGCATGCATTGCCCTCTGGGCCCGAGGTATGGATAATTTAAGATTAAAGCTGTCAGTTAGCTTAAGTGGTAAAAGCAGATTACATGGGAAATCCAAGGCAAGTGAGATTGGCTGTGCACTGTTAAACAAACAGGCTGAGTACACAGCAGAAGATCACTTAAATCTTAAGTGGCCTCAAGTTATTTATTCATAGCTTGGCTGTAAGATCCAGTAAGAACAAAATCCTAGTCTCTTAGAAAATAGGAAGTAAAACCGGGTACTCTCGAGAGTTCCTGGAAGCTTTTACATAGAGTATATACAGCCAGTATGAGCCTGGGAGATGTGTTCTCTCACTGTTACCTTTTACAAATGAGGAGGCTGAGATGCAGAAGGCGTGAGAAATATGTTCAAGGTCAAGAGAGACCAAACCAGAACTAAAGGAAAAGACAAGGCCCAGGCTCTTTCCACTACAACTCTGACCTTAGTTCACTGATCAGATGACCTCCTGTGCTCTTGGGCCCTGTTTCAGGCCCTGTGGTAGTCCTGCTGCGAGCTCAGTGGGGTCCTCATGGATCAGGAGATGAAGTTGGAGAAGGTTGAGGGCATGCTGATGGTCTCCTAACTACTGAGTGGCCAAGATTATATTTGAGAGGAGGCCATACAGGCCCTTATGTGCCTCCGTGAGTCTGCATTGAAGGAGGTGATGCCTGGAGGATTTTTCATTAAGTCTCCTAGAGACTTTGAACCACTCCTACCTATGGAGTGGGTCCTCCCTGCCCCCCCCCCAAAAAAAAACCAAACATAATTGCTATTATTGAGACTTCGCCTCTGTGGCTCATCCTTTGGAAGTCACTAAACAGAGAGCACTGGGACACATGTCTGCCTGGGGTACTGAGGGCTCCTCCCTACTCAACATGACTACTATAACTGAAGTCAGTTCTAGAAGCCTTGAACACTGGGTCTCTGGGTGGAATTTGAAAGAATTTCTGGAGAAATGTGGAGGCTGTGGGGCTTTTATAGGTGGTGGGATTTATACCTGCACCATCCAAAATAATAGTGGACGGCTATTGAGCACCAGCAGGTAAAAGCACAAGTGAGTAGCTCCAGTTCCCATTCGGTCTGATTCCAGGAAGTTTGTGCAGAGGTGGCCACCAATAGCTAGTTACTATTGTCAAGACTAAGGCTCATCTGTAGCTCCTCCTTGGCAGGAAAGGTGAACAGGGCAAAAAGAACAGGAAATGGCAATTTAGTGACATTAGGAGCATGCCTGGCCAGCCCACGTTACTGTCTTGGACTCGCGCTCCTGTTGCTGGAAAGCCACTACCTATTCCGCACACACAGACAGCATAGCATCCTGGTTTCAGAGAACTCAAAGGCCAGACAGGAGGGCTGAGTGGGCAGCATAGGGCTGACCATGCCACTCGGCAGAGAAGACCCTGCTGACCTGGAATCACACTTCTAAGAAGCTTTGATAGAGGGATGAACAGCCTCCATAACCGCCACTTCCCACGACACTCAGGCTGCACAAAAACAGCTCGTACCGCTAAGAGTGGTGATTGTCAGGTATATGGGTTTCCTCGGCAGTTATCTTCCCAGAGAAGGAGGCAATTTGAAAAGCAATTTTCTAAAGAACTTTATCAAGAGACTCAGTGAAGGGTGCTCAAGGAGGATCAAAGGGAAAAGAAAGCCGGCTGTGACCAGCTGTGCCAGCCATGTGCAAAGAACAAAATGAACTCCACTGCCCCATCACCCGGGTGGAGGGGGGCGCTGAGTTCAGGACACTCACACCCCACCCTCTGTGCATTCCAAGGGCACCATTGCTGCAGCTCCTGTAACTGAGTTTGTGGTGCAACTGAATTCCAGGCAAATTTGGGAAAACGTGTTAAAACCTGATATGAACGCCGGAAGAGGCGTGGAGGAGAGGGAGAAAGAATGTGCTTTGCCCTGGAAAAGCTGCTGAGCTCTGCACAGCACTTCCGACCCCCAGTGTCTTCCTGTGGGGGTCACTGGGCAGCAAACCAGAGGGTCTGTGCAGGAACGGGTATCCCACTGGGGAGTGCTCACAAACGCAACACTATGGGCACTGTGGGCATTTTATGCCCTTGAAAGGAGTGTTTGTTGTCTATGATTAACGAAAGAATCACAATTATCAGTTTAGGATCCACAGCACAGGCATTGTATGGGGCCCACTAAGAAATGCTGCTTCTAGGCAGGAATCGACTGATTGCTCGCTTAAAGCAATATACACAACAAGATAAAGAGACAAGCCACCCACACACCCCCAGGGCTTTCTTTATGGGACTTGAGCACCAGGCTTTTGTGCACCTCCTTCTGTAAGGTCAGCTGCTCTGAAGTGTCCGGGAGCGTGTCTGCACTGAAGGCGGTCCAGAACACAGCCTAAGAATGGGCGCTCGAGGAAGATTCAAAAGATCTGCTCCACAGCCACCTGCCCTTTTAACTTCTTCTAAGCTAACTCTTCCTAAGCACAGGTCTCTCTTTTTTTTTTTTCATTTAAAATTAACTTTTTTTTCCTATTTTCTTTTTATAAAAACAAGATGCCGTCACTATGGTAAAAACCAAAACACAAGTGAGGAAAAGAAAGAAAAAATAAGAAACCCCTGAAAAAATTGCTATCCCACAGCATGTGCGGAGGCTTTGCTCCAGGACCACAGATGTTCAGGACATCAATGAATACTCCTCCTGTAAAATAGTGTCCTACCATACCCATAACACACGCCCCTGTGTGCCCTGCCTCATCTCCAGATGTGTATATAAAATTAAATAAATGTTAAATAGATAGTTCTTAAACTGTATTGTTTAGGGAAGAATGACAATGAGCGAAGGTGGCTCTCCTATCTGTGATTCTCTTTTTTCCTTTTATTTTTAATTCTTCTCTCATATAAAAAGGGGGACATATTGGGAGTCCAGGGGAGGTGGGGTGGGAAGTGGAGAGTAGATATGATCAAAATTCATTGTATACATGTAGGAAACTGTCAAAGGACAAATTTTAAATATTCTTTTTTTTTTAAGAAAAAGAAAGTCATTGTTGGGCTGGAGAGATGGCTCAGAGCTTAAGAGCATTGCCTGCTCTTCCAAAGGTCCTGAGTTCAATTCCCAGCAACCACATGGTAGCTCACAACCATCTGTAATGAGGTCTGGTGCCCTCTTCTGGCCTTCAGGCATATACGCATAAAGAATATTGTATACATAATAAATAAATAAATAAATAAATAAATAAATAAATAAATAAATAAATAAATATTTTTTAAAAAAAAGAAAATCATTGTGAAGTTTTGCCTCCATCTGAGTTGCTCCTAAAGCTAACCCTAAGACAAGACCTTGCCAATTTGGGACACTGAGTCATCCCACTAAGAGACAGGGATGCCACTCAATCCCTGATATTGTCAGGTGTCCTGCACACAGACTGAGCAGATACCCGTGATGTTCTTAGGGGAGAAGCTGGGAGGTCTGAAGTGGAAGGTGGTCAGGCTACGTGAGAGCTGTAGTTACAGGTGACTACAGGGGGCTTAGATGTGGGGACACCAGCAGTGGCTGCGTTCCCTTTACAGGGGAGAGTCTATGCTCAAGCTCACAGCTGATGTGAAGCCCAAAACCCAAGTCAGTCTCAATAAATAATCCCCAAAGCACTTGCTCTTCCTGCTTCAGATGGTGTCTTGAAGCCCCTTCCCATGGTATGCGTACCTTCTCTTACCAAATCTCCTCTCTCTGCCCTCAGAAAAATACCACCCACTGGCAAGTTGGTCCTGACCCTCCAAACAGATGCGTGTGAGGGGAAAGAAAACTTCGTCCGCTACCTCGAGCATGTCCAAGCGGTCATCACGGTCAACGCGACCAGGAGAGGAGACCTGAACATCAACATGACCTCCCCCATGGGCACCAAGTCCATTTTGCTGAGCCGGCGTCCAAGAGACGATGACTCCAAGGTGGGCTTTGACAAGTGGCCTTTCATGACCACCCACACCTGGGGGGAGGATGCCCGAGGGACCTGGACCCTGGAGCTGGGGTTTGTGGGCAGTGCGCCACAGAAGGGGTTGCTGAAGGAATGGACCCTGATGTTACATGGCACCCAGAGTGCCCCATACATCGATCAGGTGGTGAGGGATTACCAGTCTAAACTGGCCATGTCCAAGAAGCAAGAGCTGGAGGAGGAGCTGGACGAAGCCGTGGAGAGGAGTCTGCAGAGTATCCTGCAGAAGAACTAGGGCCATGCTTCCATCGCCACCGCCCCTCCTCCCTGTCTCTGCCTCTGTCCTTGCTCCACGGTCTGGCTGCCACCAGCCACCCAGCAATTCCTGTTACCCCCACACAAGCAACCCCAGCCTGGTCTGCAGCTTTGCTCACTGTCCATGATTATTTCCACTACAATGGAAGCAATCGTTTTTAATTCTGTAGCCCAAATACAGCATTCCTACCAACATCTATGTCCTATGTGTGACTCGACCTTTATTTCTGTCCCGTAAGTGGGTGATACACTGTAAACAAAACAGGGACATCTTTGCCCTCGATTTTTTTTCCCATATCTGAGAAGAAAAAAGAACGCATCTAAAAAGCCACACTTGGTGGCTCAGGAACACGTGTGGTCTCAGCCGAATTGTTACACGCATGGAAGTGCAAGCCGGCAGGGTGAGCTCCGCAGCTCCAGCACGGGGTGGGTGGTGGCTTGAACGAAGCTAGACTATTCTGGGATGTAAACTGAGGTTGCACGATGAAATAGATGATATCCCTAGGGAACCCTAAACACTGGGCAGGGTGAGGAAACTTCAAAGACACGCACATCGAAAATCACCACCGATACCCAAGTCGTGTTCCTTCCACTCTGCCAGGGTGAGACATAAAACTGAAACATGTGGCTCTTCTGTCCCCCAGCTGCTGCTCTGCGTTGGCATAGAATCAACTGGAGCAGCCAAAAAATGCCTGTCTTGCACAGAGTTCATCCACACACCCTCAGTTCCCCGGTACCCTTTACACGGCCACCCGAGGGGGAAAAGCGGCCAGGCAGGTCGCGCAGCTGTCTGACGAAGGGCAGTTTACCCGTTTTAGAAACAGGAGCATTCCTTCTCCTGGAGGGTTTTAGACTTCCTTGACGTGACACAATCAAGAAGGAAGAGGTTTTCTGTTTTGTTTTGTGTTGCGTTTTGGTTTTGTTGTTGACAGCTTTTACCCACATCCACTTGAGCTTGGATTTCCCAAAAGCATCACTGGAGTGCAGTGTCTCCCTCCCCTCAAACTGTGCTTTCATTGATGTGCCGGGCAAAAGGGCCACTGTCCCAGGAGTAGCCGGTAGATGAAAAGGGGTACATCAGAAGACACAAGTGTCCATATTGAAGTGGACCTAGACTTTCAAGGAGCCTGTTCCACCCCCTGTGACATGTGCCACCTCATTCCCCATAACTGGAGGGCCAGAAGGAAGCAAGCGACAGCCTCTTTTAGAAAAGCACATGTCATCTTGGCAACTCAAACCCTTGAGAATCTCTAAGAAGGGGACAGTTGTCAACCTTAAATGACACCATTTCATTTCCAAACAGTTATTACCAAGGTCACCCATGGTCACTTGGTGTCCCCACCCAAAGATTGGCTTCTTGCTCAAATCTCAGTGCTCAGTCATCCCACCCCACCTCCAGCCTCCCCAAGCTCCCACCCTCCCTTCCCTGAAGCACGAACAGAGTCTGGAGTTCCTTTACTGAAGCCAGTGACAACATAGAAGCACTGGGGTCCCATTCCCTGAGGGCAGCTTTAAGAGAGAATCATGGAAAGCTTCTTTCATTCCTTTTCTCCACCATATTAGCAAGAATCTCGTCTTCTCTGACACCTTGTAACTTTCCCTGTATCATGCTTTTCAGTGTAACAATATTTATGATTTTTTAAAGAAATTTATTACTTGTTGCAAAGGTCTTTTTCAACCACCTTATATTTAAAGAAAAAAAATGGTAATCACTGAAAATTCATTTCACGTTAATGGTCTGGAAATAAACCAAAGGACATTATGTGTGCATGTATGCATAAGTGCACACGGAAATATATATACATATGTAGACTATATACATGTGTATATGTGTGTATATATATACTTGTAAAAATGTACATACACACATATACCTAAATATGTGTATATTCTGTATGTACTGAAGAAATAGCCACCATATACATCTCTAAAAGAGTATTCAGAAAATATCATAATGATTCTGGCTGAATAAAAGGCCGGTGGATATTCAGGTGAAATGTCTGTTCATCTCTTCCCAATATGACACCTCTGTAATTTTGAAGCTCTCTGTATAAACATTAATGTCTTATATAAGCAGCAGAAATATAACATAGTTGTCCATATTTTCACATTTGTGGTATAATTTATGAAATTAGAGAGTAACTTATCAGCTTCTTAATATAAATGGCAAGTTTTGATATGAGTATATAGTATATAAAGGTATAAAATGCTAAATATAATATTTGGTCTCTATTTCATTTTTGGCATCAAATACACAAAACTATGTCTAGACAGTGCTGTTTTTATGATGCCCTTGATTTTAATGCAAGAGACAGTTATTTATTTTCAAAACTGAAAATAAGTAAATAACAATCAGGTTAATATTGTTACTCCATGACAAAAAAATTTTTAAGGAAATTTTAAAAATATGTTGTACATTAGGAGGCTAAACAATAAAATATACCTTCCAGAAAATATGTGGGATGTGCTGTATCTTATACAAAACACTTCCACCCATTGTAGGAGCCAAAGACAGATCTTAAAAGTCTGCTTTAGCAAATATGCTTGACAGATGCGTAATTAGCAGATAAGTCACATGATCAACATGTGATCAACAACAGCATTTCTGAGACTCCACTTACATTTGGTAGTGGGCTGTAAATTCAGTGTAGGTAATCAATACCAGAACTTCTAACAGGGGAGCGTAGGTCAATCATGTATATTAAGTACTGTTTCTTGAGGTACATGATCCCAGTGCATGGGGGAGGAGAGGGGAGGGGAGGTGACCAGAGAAAGAGAGGAAGAAGGACAGTGTGTGTGTGTGTTTGTGAGTGCAGGCGAGCATCTGTCTTTCTGCCTGCCTGAGCATGTGTACAGGCCCATGATGTAAAATGCATGTCTTATTGTGGGTCACAATCAAACCTCTTTTAGAGCAGGACTTGGTAGCACCCGCCTTTCATCCCAGCATTTGCAAAGCAAAGGCAGGCAGGCAGACACCTCTGGTGAGTTTGAGGCCAGCCTGGTCTACATAGTGAGTTCCAGGACAGCCAGAACTATGTAAGAGACTGTCTGTCTCAGAAAAAAAAAAATCTTTTAGAAACACGATTCTAGAACACACTACAGAGATCAAGCTATACTATAATAACAGAGAGACTCATAATCTCAGTGGCTTAATACAAAGGTTTATTTGTCATTCCCATGAGTTCAAGTGAGGGTTTAGATAACTTTCCAAAGTTACAGATCTCCATGCCCTGAGAAGGGATCTAGGCCATTTCAGTTTCGTGTTTCGCTGTCTGAACATGAGGTGGCGTCTCATCCTCCCTCTATGTTCATGAGACATGCATACACGCCTGCCCACAGTAGCAGCCAGTTCTCACCAGTGAACTGACATGAACACGGGACAGCTGGGAAATGTTGAAAAACTAATGAGATACTTAGTGGGCAGTGGATCCCACAGTGCCTGATCCTGTAAAGCAAGTTCCCAATTCTGATTTACACGATAACCTCTCCTCATGAGTGGTACTGTGCTTTATTGCAAAATAATTGTACCTCACCACCATGTGACTATATAGTATTCTAAATATAGTTCAAAGTAATTCATTATAAGCCAGTTATAATGTTCTCTGATCCTATATTTATTAAACTCAATTATTAAAACTTCAAGTGAGCCTATGGCTAAAAACAGATGTGGAAAGAAATAAGGCCCAAAGTTTGGTAATGGGACATTAAAACACTATAAACCAAATCTTTTGTTCAGGCATTGATACCCTAAATATTAAGGTTTGGTGTGTGTGTGTGTGTGTGTGTGTGTGTGTGTGTGTTTTCTCTGATCACTCTTTTGCTTAATTTATTTTATGTGTATGCATATTTTACCTGTGTGCCTGTTGGATCCTTTTGAACTGGGCTTACAGATGGTTGTAAGCCACAATGTAGATGCTGAGAATTGAATCTGGGTCCTCTGCAAGAGCAACAAGTGCTTTTAACAGCTGAGGCATCTCTCCAGCCCCATTTTTAAATTATTACAGTTATTATCCCATGCCATCATTACCCTTGTCATTAGAAATTAATGATCCATGTAATGGAAACATTCATTGATTCAAGGGATTGTAGGGAAACCACACAGTGCAAAACCATATAACCAAGAACTTTATATTTAGATAGAAAGAGAAGTGCTAAATAGATGTGTTGAACTCTTATGTTGAAACACTTCATAACTAGAGTGTTTGTAGATGCAAGAATCTAATTTGATTTTTTTAAAATAATAAAAATAAAACCACAATGGTTTTAGAAAAAGTGAATATATGCTTAAAATAGCATCAGCACATGTCTCATGGGTCAGTGCAAACGATTTGGTTATGTCTAGTAAAGTGATTCTCCACCTCCAAAAAAAAAAAAAAATGAGTTGATAGGAAGGGTGGGAGAAAGAACACTCAGCCTGAGGGGCTTAAATACATGGAGAGACAGGCTGGCGGGAGTTGGCAGAGAGAGACTAGCATGCAGGAGAATCCCAGTCTCTGAAGAGTGGAAGTCTGTTGAGGACAGAGACCACTGCAGCGGGGTGAGCCACATCGAGATGCAGTGCACTGGATACCATCCCCTGCCACTGACCCCAGTCCAGGTCCTTCTGGAGTCATTAACTGCATCTTAAGGATGGACACACCACACCGAGAGCCAGAAGACCTCACTCTACTACAATTCGCCCGTGAGCACCTGAGTTTTCCCTTTAGCCTCTTGTTCATTTAGTTTAACCCTTTCCTTTCATTTAAAAAAAAAAACTGATCAGACTTTATTTCAGATTTCTAAGGAATCAAGAAGCAAAAATCTGATCTGGAGGTAAATTCCTGAGGCCAGGCTGCTAACTCAGCCCAAGGAGGTGAAGGCTCTATGTTGCTGAACTCCTAATTCCCAGCCTGAGTGGGCTGGGGCAGAGTTAGGGTGAAAAGGAGGCCCAAGTCATTCAATAAAGAAGTTGTCAATCCCCTAAATCTAATGTCGACAGTCACCTATATATATCGAGGAATCTTCTGACCCTTTGGCCTTTCCACCCTAGCATGGAGTGTCTCACCCACTGCCTTATCAAAATCCTGCATCCAAGAGACCATCCCATGAACTCTTCCCAGCTGGAGGCTAAACCTTACTGTTTTCCCTTGCGATCCCAGGCCTCAGATCACTGACTTGGCCACAGGTGACAGGTAAGTAATGTGGTCACGGGATACACACTTGTGTTGGCGGAGACTGTTTCCCAGCCACCCAGAATTCTGAAGAAATCACTCAGAAACTATATTTTTTTTGCAATATTGTTTGGCTGATAACTTAAGCGTATTGCTAGCTAGCTCTTACATCCTAAACTAACCCATCTCTATTAATCTGTGCATCATGATGAGGTCGTGGCCTACCAGCAAAGCTCCAGTGGAGGCTTTGTCTCCTGTGGTGGCTACATGGCTTCTCCCTGACTCTGCCTACTCTCTCTATATATCTTTTCCAGCCTGGCTATATTCTGTTGAGTCATTGGCCAAAAGCAACTCCTTTATTCATTAACCAATAAAAGCAACAAATATACAGGACTTCCCATACCATATCCCTTTTTCTGTTTAAATAAAAAGGAAGGTTTTAACTTTAACATAATAAAATTACATATAACAAAACAGTTATCAAGCAAGAATTATAGTTACAATATTTATATCTACTTTCTCTTTTATCATAACTAAGGAAAACTATAATTATAACTATCTATTCCTCAACTCCATCAAAGACCCCAGAAGAATATGATATTACCTAAGTTAACAGGAAGTGCAATGTAAGAAATTTCAAAAACTCTAGAATTAACAGAGACATCTCACTGCCTGGACAGTCACCCAAAATTCTTTTGTAATGTTGGAGAATTCACCTTCAGCCTACAGGTCCATAGTATCTGACTGACTTTTCCATGAAGCAGGAAATGTCAACGACACTTCCATATGTATTGGCAGTTTTTCAGGTACTTTCTTCTGTGTCCTGCAGAATGTCTGGAAGGCTCTTTCATGAAGCAGGAACCCCAGACGACTGTCTCACCCTCTTTATGTAACTTCAGCAGTCATTTTTCTGTGTGTCCTGAATGTACAGTTCACACAGCATAACATCAAGCAGTCCAGGCAAGAGCAGTTTCTTACCCAAATGGCTAACAAACTCCATAAGGAGCTTCGATGCCCACTATCCTCTTGAAGGAGATTAGCTTTAGGACCTTTGGGGTTGCCCAACAGAAACCAACTCTAGCTCATGGAACAAAAAGAAGGTGGAATAATAAATAATCTCAGAAGTAAAACTGGAAGAACTTGGCCAAAACCATCCTAGTGAAGGGACAGAGATCACAAGAGTCTGAGAACCTGGATACAGAGCAGGAATCAGGGGTGACTTCAGGAGACCACACCCATTAGAGAAAGGCTGTAGCATGCTGTCTTGGGTTCACTGACTGATACCAATGCGAGGGTGTCTTATGGGTCT